ACCACATGAGGTGCGAATGACAATAAAGAAACTCTGACTCTGACTCTCTGATAACTTTGGACCACTCAGCAGCAGTCCCAGGCGAGACGCTTCTGATAATGTCTCTTGTTAAAGAGTGACTTGACACAAGGAATACGACTGCTGAACCCCATGTCTTGCATACGTCTGTGCGTGGTGGTTCTTGAAGCACTGACTCCAGCTGCAGTCCACTCTTTATGAATCTCCCCTACATTTTGGAATGGGTTTTGTTTCACAATCCTCTCCAGGGTGCTGTTATCTCTATTGCTTGTACACTTTTTTCCTACCACATTGTTTCCTTCCCTTCGCCTCTCTATTAATGTGCTTGGACACTGAGCTCTGTGAACAGCCAGCCTCTTTAGTAATGGCCTTTTGTGTCTTGCCCTCCTTGTGCAAGATGTCAGTGGTCGTATTTTGGACAACTGTCAAGTCAGCAGTCTTCCCCATGATTGTGCAGCCTACAGAACTAGACTGAGACCATTTAAAGGCCTTGGCAGGTGTTTTGAGTTAATTAGCTGATTAGAGTGTGGCACCAGGTGTCTTCAGTATTGAACCTTTTCACAATATTCATATATAATATATATATAAGCATATACTTATGCTGGTCATAAAATTAGAATATCATCTGTAGTTCTGGTCTAGTTTTCTTCCCAGGCACTATGCTGGTGTAGATCCTCAGTCATTCAGGACATGGTAAAAAAAAAATAAATAAATAAATAAATAAATAGCAAAACTGAGTTTTATTCTGTAGTCTAAACTGGAGTTAAACTACAGCAACTACAGAGTAGAAGTCCCTTTTTTATGGCTCCCTGTTCATTTTTGTTCACATTACATGATCACCTTGTGGTCCTTTTTTAAAGTTAAATACATAATTTGTCAATTTTTATTTCCAGTTCAGACACTAACTTGAATGTGTGTGTGTTTTACCATCATTTGACACATTTTTATAAAACATTTATCAAATAAATTCTTGCTTTCTGTTTTTATAATGACAAATGGTAAAACAGGGATCGGTATGTTTCTGCAACAGCAAGTTTGTTTCTTTAAGATCATTTTTACAGTCTTAACCAGTTGTTGCATTAGAAGTCTTGATAGATTAATGGAAAGTCAGGCAGCTGTGGAGTCCAAGTCTGGTGGTTGTATTGAAACGTCCACCAAGTTTATTACTAATGAAGTGGAACCTGTTTGTGAAAACATTGCATCAAAGCGAGCTTATTTGTAGGAGAGCACACACAAATAGGGATCTCTTTGTATTTTATCTGTCTCACTTCCTGTCTCCATGTCAGGCTTTCATCAACACAGCCAAGGAGATCTATGAGAAGATCCAGGAAGGAGTGTTTGATATCAACAACGAGGTGAGAGACGCTGAACATTCCGTTTTCAGTTTCCATCCTCTCTTTTTTTTTTTTTCCTGTTCCCGTCGTCAGTTCTTTCCTCTTTTCCCTCTTTCTCCTCGGCGTGAGTTTCCAGCAGCGTGTGTGGCTTGTCGTTCTCCCTCTAGCCTCGGAGTAGAGAGGGAGGGAATAAAACCCTCCTCGCTGCTTCCTTTGACTCCAGCCAAGCAAAACTCTCTACGTTCCTCTTATCCTCTGCTCCATTTTCCACTTACACTCTTCACTCTTTAATTCCATCTCTTTTCTGTCTCACTCTCTTGGCATCTTGCCAGCTCATAAATTCCTCACATCTCACAAGGTCTCGGTCATTCAGCAAGAAAACAAACACTCACTCACTCAGCCAGTCAGCCTGTAAGCTGCCTGTCAAGCCAGTCGGTAGGTTCGCCATCCTGTCAGCCAAATTTTCACTTATAAGACGACTTGCCTCGACGTCTGCTCCATAAATTAATTCATGTGATTACCAGCACTTGAAAACTGACGAACCCTAAAACGGAGTTTCCAGTGGGTTAGAAAATTAATGTGTTCATAAATGCTTTCATGTCTGTGTGATCATGCGTCAGCCGATCGTGTTTACTCCCATATTTAAACGTAAAGCTGGCTGAAGCAAAGCCTCACAGGCAGATGTGTACGCACATCAACAGCCACCCCTCCCTGACCTAAGGAATCTGAAAAGCACGACAAATTAAAAAAATGATAATTGGGTAATAAGACATTGGCCTTCTATCAAGTTTTTAATTTTGGCTGTGTGCAAATGAGTCAGATGCCCCGAGTTCAAAGGTCACACAGCTTTAACGCGAAGGTAGTGTGCAGCTGAAGAACCGTTCTAAGGTCTGCAGTAACTCTTGGAGGAGGCCAGTCAAGTTGAGTTTGTGGCAAAACGTTTTTCTTAAAACGATTAAAATCGTTAGACTCTTGAACCCAGGACTTTGTCTTGTCCTGTCGTGTGAAAGAAGTGTCTCATTATACCCCCAGGACTTAAGAAACTGAGCTGTGTGTGAATTTACTGGTTGTGTCCACATCTGGATTCAACTGTATGTGGCCCTACAGCCAGCAAACCCAGGTGCTGGGCAGACGGCACGAGCGAGAGCCAGCCAGCCGCTCGGCGTTTTTGTTATTAGTAACGGTAAGACGAAGTGAAGGCAGGCTGGCCAGCCAAACCACATCAGCTGACTGGCTCAGGGAGAGAAAGGGAAGCCCCAGCAGAAATGTTGGCAGCCTCTGCGAGAGAAAACACACACACTCTCTCACACTCATGGCCTTAGCTCAATAAATGTGATTTAAAGGCATACAGTGTTTCCCAGAGGCACCACTGCTACTGACTGTAGGAGGGGAGTTACTCTGAAAGGAGATAAATATATACAGAGGGAGAGCACGAGCGAGGCCGAGACACACATGATGAAACACAGAGGCAGAGTGAACACTACAGCTCAGAGAGATGAAAGTGTCTCCCTACCTCCCACCTGCCTCCCTCCGTCTCAGCTTCTCCTCTTTCCTTTTTTTATGCTGGCGTCCTTGTGCTGCTGGTGTTTTCTGTGCCTTTGTGCAGCACAGCAGCACCTGTTGCTTCCTCTGTGATGTGATCTAATAGAAACCCCCCACAGACACCGAGCACTTCTGATCTCGCCACGAAGGCAATAAAACAGTCTTTCTAACACATTTTTATTTAGTTTGTGATTATAAGTGCACATTTAAATCTGTTGACTAGACGTGTATTTATCGTTTTTCTTTTGTCGAGGTAAATACGGGGCGAACTTGTATTTTTGAGCGATGGAAAATGTTGCATGAGAACTTGTTAAGAAGTTCAGCAATCCATTTCTTATTGTCCAATAAAAAGCTGAATAAGCAGCAGGCTAAATGCTTTTGTGGCACAGAGTAGCTTAGCGTTGTGTAGCCTGTAAGACTGCATAGGCTAGAATAAATTTATAAATTGTGCATGAGTAAGAGAAAATATGTCCTCCAGTGTTATTTCAGTGCTCAACAAGACTGAGAAGTTCTTTATAAATACAGACTATGTACTATTTGTTTTCTTTGAACTCCATCTATTTGATTTCTTTTTCTTAGTTGGTAGATGTGACAGGTAAAATGTGTTTTGTTCAGAGGCCGTGTGCGTATAAGTTCAATCTGCTGTTGACTGGGTGTGATCGTTTCTACACGCTTCTTTGTGCACAGCGTCTTGGTTTTATTTAGTAACAAGGACGGCGTTTCAGAAATCCTGCGGTTTGTTCGGATGCAAGTTTGCAAACTTAAGTCTGTCGCATTGTTTTTAGAGACTAGATTTACACCTTTCCAAACAAGTCTGACTTGTTCAGTGCTTTCTGATGGTATTGTCATAAACTTCAATAATAAATAAGCTGACTGAAGCCTGTTGAGTTTGAGGTGCAACGCTTGTTTTTATTCCTCTTAGCGTTGCGGCCTGGTCAAGATGAAATGTCCACTACATTTGATGCAAACTGTCCTGAATCTGTTCTAGTCTTTCTTTTTAAAGTAGAATGGACTAAATTGTTGAAAAATGACCTTGTAACTTAACGAGCAACAAGTTGCTTCTAAAATGGTCATTGTCTTTTCTCTTTGCATCATATTATTACACAACTGAAGACTCCACAGCAGCAAACCATTAAAACCTTGATTCACTTAAAGGTTGTATTAGTTTAACTTTAGGACTTGATTACAACCAGAGCGGCCATTATTTGGTTCTTGTTAGTAAAATCTTTTAACTGAAAGAGGGTTTACTTTCGTCTTATTGTTGCTGAATTGTGCATAAAGTAATTTTTTCAAAGCTTCAGAGACGAGAGGAAGCAAAAGCAGAACTCCTCGGTGGTTCCTGGTACATTACTGTTCAGTTCCTTGACTGAGCAGGCGTACCATCTACTGTAGACCTGTTAGTGACGCACTCTGCTGTTAACATCTGAAAGCTGAATAAGGACTGAGACCCAATAAAAAGTTCATTTCTGTCTAGCTAAGGGCTTCGTGTATTCTGCTGTCAACAACTTTGTGTTGGGACATCGTCCTTGTGAGGCAAATATAAATGTTACAACTAAACGTGTCTGTTTTGATTTGTTGTTTTGGACTCACAGCTGTGTATTGTTGTTTTTGTCTCCACACAGGCTAATGGTATTAAGATCGGACCCCAGCATCCTACCACCAACTCCACACTGTCCAGTAGCCAGGGAGGCCAACATGCTGGAGGGGGCTGCTGCTGAAGCCCCAAAACAGCCCTTCTCCTCTTCCTCCAGTCCCAACCCTTCCTCCTCCCTGCCCTCTATGACCCATCGTTGCATTTCTACAGAACGGTCCAGGCCCGCTAACAGTTTAACCTCTCTCTACCGCTCCATTCTTTCATCCCTCCATCTCAGCATCCTGAGTGTCTTGAACATCCCCATGGGTCTGGGGAGGGGGGGTCAACATCCCCATGAGTCAGCATGATTTCTTACAGACTTATGAGGACCGAGTCAGCTTCACCTGCACATTTATTTAGTTGTTTTTTTTTGGTTCACTTTCTTTGTTTTGGTTAGATAAAGATTTTAAGCTTTTCATTTAAAACAATCCAACAACAGGCGCACTTGAGGAAATGGTTTGCGTTTTATTTCAGCCGTTTGATTTAGATCCACAGCGATTTTGTTTTATCACGATACTTTAAAATCACATGAAGCAATGAACTGGCAGTGGTGGACTGACTTTATTTAGACAGATTCAGGATAGGAGATTAGAAACTGAACCCTTTTAACGGCCGATTGTGTGAAATAAAGCAGGCACCGTGTTGTGCCTATACACACACATCTGTATGTTTGTTTAAGACGGCGTTGCTAGCAGAGCATGTTTCTACATGCTGAGTCAGTTCTCCTGCGTTGCCTGTGTGTATAGGGACAGTACAAGTATTTCAAGATGTCAGTTTGTCAGCTATGGGAGGCATTTAAGTCACTCTGTAAAATTTGTTCATAAAAACATGCAAATCATGTCATTTTTGTCCATTCTTTCCCTTCTTTCTGTCATTTTGCTCCAGTCTGCTTGCCCCTTTTGTCCGCTCACAGACAATTTGTATTTCATGAACACTAAAAACTGGTTGTGGCTTAAAAATCAAATTTTTTTGAAAGCCTGGATAGAGAATAAAAGACCAAACTGTTCAAGTGTGAACGTTGATCCTTTTGAAACGACAGAACACGAGCAGGAAAGTTGAACTGAGGGTTGTTGAGTGATGGCTGCCGTTATGAAGTTAAGAAGAAATGTATGAATTAGAAATTGAGTTGGGTTTTTTTTATATATAAATATATATATTTATCAGGCGCATTTCTGTGTATATATGGCTCTTTAGGTTTCTGTAGCTGTTCTGGATGTTTAACATGAAGCTTGCCATGTTATGGTCTTTGAAGTCTTAACCAGGAGCTGAGAAGAGATTTCTCCGAGTCTGAAACAGCTTTTTAGCATTTTCAGCTATCCTCATTTAAACCCAGAGGAGCTCAGCCACCCTGGTACTTTGGGGTTGGTGGTGCCCTTTCTTTTAAATGACAAGTATGAATGATAACGGGCTGTTAACAGGCCCGACCAGAGGTATTCAGCATCCCTGGTGGGGGACTTTGACTCCAGCTGAAAATGTCAAAGCATCTCCCCTTTCTTTAAGCGAGCTAAGATTTCCACCCTGAATTAGCCGCAGATCCATAGCTGTACCGTTTGGAGCTTGATCGACGACCGCCGCCATGTTTATTTGGCTTCAGTATCCCAGATGTAATCATTTTACTGCTGCGATGATTCCATTCACCCCTTCTCCTCACCCCCTTTTTTTTTTTTTTTTTTTTTTTGCAAACTGCAGTAACAATAGCTCTGTACCTGCTTTTTATGCCAAATTATTGTTTGCTTGTGTTTTATCAACAAAATTAAATGAAAGGGAGTGAAACATCAAGTAAGCCCTTAGAGTCTGACCTGAAATCAGCTGTCTGCCTTAACGCCCACCTCCCCCCGAGAGACTTGGACGGCTGCGAAAATGACCTTTTATTTGCAGATGGGCTTTTTACCACTAACGAACTAGTCAGCGATGTATACACATGTCTAGATGCACACTTAGAACATGTTCCAGTTTGATTTCTGGGTATCAATTGGGGCATTTGAAATGAATCTCATGTTTGTTTTTCTTTTACCTGTCCCCTCCAAATTTACATGCACCACCTGCATACAGTGTATGTATGCATGTGTAGATGATGTATACATATTTTCTTGTCTAGCTAACAAGCTGTTTTCTCTGCAGGCTGACTGTAACTTTGGGGTTTCACAGCAGTGTGAGTGAATCTCGATTTTCTCTAATTGTAGTTGATTTTTTTTAATCTTCAGTATATTCAATCAGTTATTAATCCTATTCAGATCATAATTATCCTTTGTAAACCAACATGTAAGTGTGTGTGTGTGAGTGTGAACCCAGAGGGGTTACAGGGGGAAGACCAAGCCAAACCTGATGCATCTACCTGTTAATCTTATCTATGTGGCCCTCTTCTCTCTTCCTCTTCCTGCCTCTCCTCCTTCCCCTCAACGTTTATTGCTGTTTGTTCTTTGAAAAAAAATAAAACCTTAAAAAAAAAGAAAAATGAAAATACTATCACAATAAACTATAATAAAACATTCTAAACTCTGTCAACTTGATGGTTATGTTATGATAGAAAAAAATGTTTACAAAAAAAAAAAGAAGCTGCAGTTGTATTTTCTGTCCATATTTTTTTTTGATACCCATCCGGCCTTTCTCACTGTTTGTCGCTTTAATTCAGTCATTAAAATGAGACTAAAAGGACTCCTGGAAATGTGCTGTTTGACCTTCGTTTGTCATTGAGATTATATTTCCCTGATGAGTCGGTCAGAGAGAGGTTGCTTAATGAGTGAAACATTTTAAAACGCGTCCGGTTAAAGTTTAAGGCATCAAGGATGTGCGGCTCCGCCTCGATGCCTGAGCGGTTCAGGTTGGCAGAGGCCGCTTTAGAGTCTGAGCAAACCCATGACTTGGACATCACATCTGTGTGCAGATGTTTTCATACTCGGCCACATGATGCTGTGGAAGAGGGATAGTGTACACATTTAAAGTTTACGTTCTGTAGGATGGTTTTAACCAGTGTTGTGCTGTAAATAGTTGTATCTGCTTATACAAGGAAAGATACAACTATCTGTCAGATAGTTTCTGTCAGTACCTTAAGAGCTCCCAGTACATGAAGAAAAAGGCAAAAGTCTTCCTGGCCAGCCTAACGAGGATCCCTTTAATGTTTTTCAGGCTAATAACTCTCAAAAGTGCCACACAGGCGTAAAAGAATGCTACTTTAGCTCATATAAAACGACCCCACTGTTTGGTCAACGGAGCAGCGTCTGTGTTGCTGTGGGATCGTCCCTTCTGACAAAGCTATCTATCAGCCTGGGAGAGTCTGTTGCCGTCATAAATCAGTTATGCTCAATATACGTTGGCATTTATTTTACAAAAAAAATAAAACAAAATGTTTAATGAAATTTCAACAGTGTAAATAAACAGGTTTTCAAGGCCTTAAACATCCCCAGGAGTTAATATGAAGACCTGAAAGGAAAGTTGTGGCAGAGCATCCTCAAAGTGTGCAGCCAGGAGGATGGAGGCCACCATGACGCCTGTGAGCACGGAAGCAGTTGCAGCTTCAGCAGGGGAGGTGGGAGCGGGACAAACACAAAGACACAGTTTAAGAATATTACATTTTGACTAAACAATCTTGGAAATTCCAAGTCGTCATTTAAAATGGGTTTTCTCAGTTTCTAAACTGGTTCATAGAAGCTGGGCACCATGAGAACAGACCACGCAGAAATTGGCAACTTTGAACTGGAGACAACGTGAGGTAACCCTGTCAACCACCACGCCACCGTTCAGCCTGACGTGAACATCTTTCAAAACGAGACTTTAAAGCGGTTCATGTTGTCTTGCTAACAGTTATTTTATCATTTGGAAACAGAAGCTGCAGCTTGGAGTCTCTGCATGTTCCCACTGTGCTTGTGTGGGTTTTCTCCAGTCTCTCCTGCTGCCTCCCTCACATCAAACGCATGCATAATTATTTAGGTAGCAATGTAAAATTCATGAAGTTGTCATGTGTGGCCATGTGGCTCTGAGTGGACTGCACCCTGTGTACCCATGTTGAATAAGACCATCACCAGTAGCTAAACAGGACTAAGGTGGGTACAGAAAATGGAACAATGGAGGACATTATACTGAGGTATAGACTCAGTGTTTCTGAGTAATTCAATGCAGATCATGTCTTAATCGACCATGACCACCTCCACAAGTTACATGAACGTATTGCAAAGTTTAACCAATTCTAAGATGAAAGTTTTGCCTAAGCTAAGCAATTACGTCATCAAAACTTATTTACCAGTGGGCTAAGATGCACGTTCTAAAAATCCCACAAATTATTGAACAACGCCAAAAGTCAAATGTGGATGATATTTTGGCACTTGGTGTTTTTGTAATGAAAGTCATAAACCATCTTGATTCAAGGTGGCTGTCAGCCGCTGACCTCGGTAAACTCATGGACGACTGATTCAGTGAACTTTACAAACCGTGTCCTAACATCTGATGTGCTGCTTGTTCAGTGCATACAATGTTCTGAGTGCTAACAGTAAAGATATCGGTTTAAAATTTGGCCTCTATTTAAACTCAACCCTGTCCGTAGGTTTAAATACATTGTTTTATATATATATATATATTTTTAATCATTTTGTTTTTACTGTTGATCTTAACTTTTCTTTTAACTAATTGTTAAAGGTCCAAGGTTGCAAATTAGCTTTGGCTACATACACTGTGACGCAGGCATTAGATTGTCTTGATCTGTGTTTCTTGTGTCTGTCCCTATCAAGTAAATAAAAATAAATCTCAGGATTTTCATGAAACTTTCAAGATCGAGTTTATTGTCATTTGCATCACGTGGAATGAAATCATGTACTGGGGTGGGGGGGACCCAGTTACATCCAAAAATAGCAAAAATATAAAAGAAACAGTAAGGATCTAAGTTATAGGCTAAACGAACATCAAAAAGTACGCTAAAAGATCCAAGATGAACGCTAATAATATAAAATAACGCGGAGGATCAGCAGCAGTCTGGAAATAATTTCAGGAAATCATCATTGTGTAAACGTCTACAACTGATTATTTTTTGGATTCATTCCTATTCAAGATGGCCGCCACACTCAGCTGGCACTGTTGAAAACACAAAACTGCCATGATTCAGTCAGCTTGACGAGTATTAAGGTAAGTTTTGAAGTGGTAGTAGCTGGGAGTCATTTTCAACACACTACCTGAGTGTGTAATATCTTGTAATACTGTATAAGATTACCATCCAGCCAGCCATCCATTATCTTTTGCCCACCTCTTCCTTTGTGGGTCGCAGGGGTCACTGGTGCCCATGTCCAGCAGTCCCTGTGTGAGAGGCGGGGGACACCTGGACATGTCTCCAGTCCATCACAGGGACACATAGAGACAAACAACCATTCTCTCACTCACACCTAGAGACGATTTAGAGTTATCAATCAGTCTAACATGCATGTTTTTGGTCTGTGGGAGGAAACCGGAGTACCCGGAGAAAACCCACGCATGCACGGAAAGAACATGCAAACTCCACCCAGAAAGGCCCCCGGACCGGGGTTTGAACCAGGGACCTGCTCACTGAGAGGCAGCAGCTCTACCGGTTGCTCCACCGTGCTGCCTTGTATGTGACATCATAGACCAGATCATCTACAACTCTGGCAGAGGTTAATCAGTTTACAAAATATCTATTTTATTCTATTTGAAGATTTTTTTTGGAAACCATTGACACAACCTCGGTCATACTAAAGAGGACGGTCGATTGCCAGCACACACGTCCTTCCAAAGCCTGCTTCTCTGTTGCTATGGGGGTGCATTAGTGCTTCTGGCATGGGCAGTTTACACATCTGGTACTGGACCATCAACGCAGAAAAGTGCATACAAGTTTTAGAACAACATATACCATCTAGACATGATATTGTTTCAGGGAAGGCCTTGCATATTTCAGCAAGACAACAAGTCACATAATGGTTCCATCACAACAGTGTGGGTTTGTAGTGGGAGTCCAGGTGCTGAACTGGCCCATCTCCCATCCAGACCTCTCACCAACTGAAAACATCTGGCACTGCAGGAAAATGTGACTTTTTTATGTTGAACTAATGTTTGAACTGCTATTTATAGTTGATCTGAATGTAATGTACAAATTATGTAACCACGTTAGGAAGTTCTGATGAAATGTGTTGTACTTTGCAAAAAGAAGGAAGTCACAAAGTAGACAAAGAGGCACAGCATCTACGTGAAGGCCAGATTGTCATGATAAGCAAATTATATGCGAGGGATATCCACGTTACTTCAAGTCCCTCGTATCCCTGCAATAGTCATCTTTATTTCATCCTTTTAGATAACTCAAATGTAATATAAAAACCCACCGCCTTATTTTTTACGGTGGTGCTGATTGTGCTTAAGGTGCAGCTTTCTTTTTGGTCTTGTTCAATCATCTGTAGTGTTTTGCATCTATCACACCTCTTTACATGCCATTCAGTCATTATTAAAGTTAAACATTAACGGCAACATTAAAACCTACAAAGCAAAAAGATTATTGGTAATGCTTATGAGTTTATTTCCTCCAGATCAGACGTAACTTTCCACCTTGTTCCAAAGCCAACAGGTTTTAGACTGCCATCGCTTTAATGCGCATTTTCATTAGTAGATACGTTTAAAATAAAATAAACAACCAGACTGATTTCATTAGTTAAAGGAGGCTTTTTGCGTCTATTTTCATCCTCTCTGAGCTAGAAGTCAGGAAGCGCGGGCACGGCGGGGTCAGTGGCCGCGCACGCCGCTGTATGAGGTCCTCGGGAGCGCGCCCCCCCTGGCCGAGGAAGGTGAGCTAGTGTCTGGAGGGGAGGACTCGGGAGCGCGGCCAGCCGAGGGATCGATCGGATTAAACTCGATTTGAGTGAAATTAACACAAAGGAGAGAAGAGCAACGCGCACTAGTCGGCGAGGTCGCGCGTGAGAGCTACATCGAAGAAATATTTCACGAAAAACAAGAAACTTGAACTTTTTGCCCCCTCTGTTTATTTATATCGCGGTGGATTTTTTTTTTTTTTCCCAAGCAAGCGGAGACAGTGTACCCTTCTGACGAGGAGTTGATTTGATAAAAAGCCAGAAGTGACCGAGCTTGTTGGGGTAAGCTGCCTTTTCTCAGGTAGTGCTTTTTAATAATAGGAGCAGGAGACCGTGTGTTCGTGTCCACCGGTTCTGAATGAAATTACTTGGTGCTTTCTTTGAGCACCAAGTTTTTGGTACTTTTAAGCCAATCGGACTCGTAGCGTGCGAGTTGCGTTTTTGAACCCCGACGGGGCATTTCCTTCAGGGCTAACTGTCCGTAAATGTAAAGTACGGGACTCCCGAGGTGGTTGAAATTCTGTTTTCTGTTCCCGTTTACACATAAAGTCACTGAAGGTCCGTGGAGCTGCCGACATGCTAACAATAGCAAGTTTAGCTTTGCCACCCGCTGCATCGCTCACACAGACGCGCAACCAACAGTCCCATTACTTAGTTGAAAAGTGGGAAGAAATGTTCCCGAAACGGCAAAGAGAGCGTCCTTGTTCCCGAGTCTTTCCCCCCGCAGAAGGACTTTAGGGCTTGGTGATGCGGAGCGGCGAGTTAGTTCAGTTTTAAAGTGCAAGTGTTAGCCGTGCTAGCCGATTGTGTTGAAGCTTCCAGGAGACACGAGGCGCTCGGAGCGGAGGTGAGTCACCCGCCCGCCGAGCGAGCCGAGGTTCCCAGCGGACAACACTCGAAGGACAAACCCGCTTTGCTTTACACTACGGTCGCGCGTTTCGCAAAAGTTTTAAAAACCTAACGGGGCTCCCTGTGCCTGCGTGTTTTTGTGAGGTTCAAGTGGACGGTGTGGTTTGTTGTAGTTTCACTGAAGGGACGGAGACGAGGGGGGGGCTGTGAGGCCAGGCGGTCATCCCGTACAACCGCTTCTAACGTCGCGTGCACTTCGCTTTTCCTCCGTGAAACGTTTCGAATCGTTGCAAGAGACTGTGGGCTCCGCGCGTGCGGCGTTGGGGTAGAAAACTAAGTGCTTTACAGTAAGAAAAACCGAGATAAGCGAGCCATTCTGTGGTCCGGATCGACGTGCGAAATGCCGCTGATAGGCTAATTAGCCGTGCTAGCCGCCGGAGGTTGGGCCGGCGCGAGGACAGAAGTTCAGCTAGCCTCGTTAGCCTCGTCCTGGTTGTGAACGGACCTGGTAGCTCCAGGGCGCTGGTCTCCGGCATGCCTTTCTTTGGCGAGGGGATCAACTTTACGCGTCTTTCGCGTCACTTTAAAAAAAAAATTGAGGATAAAGAGCAAAAGTGTCGATAAATATCCAGTTTTTTTTCTTCCTCTTGTTGCGGCTTTTTGTAATTGCCGTGTCCGGTGAGCTAACTTCATCGCCGCGGCTACACTTGTTACACCTGCCGCTTCATCCTTCCTGCCACGGCTCGAAAACTTTTTCTTTTATTTGTCCTGCGCACTTTAATTTTATGGCGTGCTTGGTTCGTTATCCTGCCTTCTTTCTCCATCCTGTAGTCGGCCAAGTCGCATAATAATAACTTTGACAGAGTCATAATCTCAGCAAAATAATAACTTTATTTCACTTTATCCATGTGGACACTTTCCGTGTGTTGGTTCGTTTTTCCGTCTCTTTCTGTTTTCTCCGAGGAGCTCCTGCCCCTCCACCGTGTGTGTGAGCCAAGATGGCAGCTAGTCATTTGCAGATAAGAGGCCCGACCACACGCACGCGCGCACACACGCTCCATAAAACAGATGTTCGGCTCTATTTTGTCTCTTTATTTATTTTCTCTTGTGGTTCTGAAACACTCCCAGCCACAACGCTGCCATGGCTTGTTAAAGACTAATAAGCAAGTTTGAATAAAGTTAATTCTCCTCAGTTTGATTAGTTTTTTTTATATTTTGCATAAATTAATTGTAACTGTGAGTTCAGGAGTAATTCAGAAGGTGTCGTTTAACACTTGAAGCCTGAGGACGCAGATTCTCTAAAACAAAAATTGAATGTTGAGCGGGGATGTTTAATAAAACTGCTTATGCGTTTTGGTTTTGTGTATTGTTTGATCTCCGTATATAAAATGTAAGAGCAGAGTATTTGTCTACATGTAGAAATTCCCTTCTTTGGATAGTGTTAGTGTTGCGCCACAGGCGGGTGATCCCTGCATACATGGCATTGAAGGGTGAGGATGCATCACCTGCAGCAAACTGACTCACCACTTATTAAATGCAGCACCAATGTACCGTAGTTAATTGAGATTTCACAGGAAGATGCAATTAAATTTCTGCTCTAACACCCGTGCACTGATACGCAACGTAACTGGCTTTGATTTGAATGTTTCCACTGGTCTGTTTTTGTTGCTTACGCTATTGTGTGATGTGGTCTTGAGTTTTGGAAGAACAGAGAAAGTTTTGCACAAGCTCACCGGCTCACTTTCTTATTTTTTTTTAAGAAGCAGATCTCTTTTTACTTTTAAAATAATCCCTGTTGACAGTGTTAAATGTCCTAAAACTCGTGAACTGCTGTGTTTGATACTTTAACCAAATTCCTTTTTCTAAATTGGCTCAAAAAGGCACAAAACATTCAAGGGAAAATTATATATTGTGTAAAAGTAAACAAAAATCAGAAGTGTAACCTTGTTGGTATGCAGAGATGATGAACTAGCATGCAGCACTGATATTGTTTTTGTGGAAAATGTGATTACCGTATAACTAAAGCACTGATTGAGGTAAATTAACAAAAAGAGTCATCCTGATCTTTCATACTAAACGTTGAATACATGGATTAATAAAAGTGTTGATACTGGAGAACTAAGAGTTTGTTTTCAAGAATGTACAGGCTTCGTTGTCAAAATTCAAGTACACTGACTAGGGATGCACCGATCCACTTTTTCCGATACCGATATCTGCGGTTTAGTGTCTGTCGATACCGATCGATATCGATCTGATGCAGAAAAACAGCGCTGAATACTGTTAAACTCAGCGCGCTCTTTAGGGTGAAATCTCTGGAGGTGCTTGATTAAGTTGGTGGTGTTATAACTGGAAGTTTTAGTGACACCCCCCAGAACCGTCGCTGTGCACTGCACGTATTGCACGTAGCTGTCGAATGTGTTGGCTGAGGTCGTGTGAAATAGTTCCAGATGCCCAATCCTTTCGCTCGCTCCATTTTGAAAACGATCTGTGCGGTGAGTTCGCTAGCGCGTGACGTCACTCAGAGCACAAAGCATAGAATTACAGTGAGTAGATCTAGAATTAGAGTGAATAGATCTAGAATTACAGTGAGTAGATCTAGAATTAGAGTGAGTAGATCTAGAATTAGAGTGAATAGATCTAGAATTACAGTGAGTAGATCTAGAATTAGAGTGAATAGATCTAGAATTAGAGTGAGTAGATCTAGAATTAGAGTGAGTAGATCTAGAATTAGAGTGAGTAGATCTAGAATTGGTGTGAATAGATCTAGAATTAGAGTGAATAGATCTAGAATTAGAGTGAGTAGATCTAGAATTGGAGTGAATAGATCTGCCCAGTCATGGATCGGTCACATTGTCCCAAATACCCGATCCAGAAGTTTTTTCGATATCGGGAGCGATACCGATGTTGTATCAGATCGGTGCATCTCTGACACTGACATCATTGTACTTACTGTCGAAGTGTTTTTACTGTCAGACTTGATGCATTAGCACCCACTCTGTCTTGGGTCTTGCAGGTGTTAAGGCTGAGTTACTGTATTTTCCATCGTACACGTCGCACCGCCCTATAATTCGCATCAGTCCAAATATGTTTAATAAAGTGGAAAAATCCATAAATATGTCGTTTCTCCATAGACGTCACATCTGTTACGCGTCGCCGCTGACAACCTGAAAATGTGGGCCGGTGTTGTGCCATAATCGATTCGCTGCCAAATGGTGGCCATGAGAGCGTGCACGGGAAGATTTTAACAAGAATTTAGCAAGCTTAACACTTAAAAACAATTATTTATTTTCTTGAAATTATATTAAAGATGTGTCTCAGTTGAACTTTTACTTAATAAATGCACTTTAATGGTCAAATTAGCTGCATTTCGCCGGGGCGGCGCAGCAAAATGAAGCTTGACAGTTGCTCCAGGCGAGCTGGATGAAGGCGGCATGCTATGGCAAGCTGATTGTGTCATTAAGACACACATTTTACCTATTACATGACACAGCGGCATACCATGTTACTGGAGTGCCATCTAGTGGCTGAAAATGGTAGTGTTCAATAAAAAAGGTTGAATCATGTCATCTGGACTTCGTTTTTTTTGTTAAAAAGAAACGTTTCGCCCCTCATCCAAGAGGCTTCGTCAGTCTGAGGCCTAGCCATCTGGTATTACCCAGAAGCCACCCTGACTCTTGTGTTTCAAGCCTGCCTCAGATACCCCTGAAGTCTGGCCTTTTCACTAATGGTTTCAAAAACACAAAGTTTGTTTTCTCAGTCATCCAGGTCTGGATGACTGAGAAAACAAACTTTGTGGTAGTGTTCAATATTTCAGTCAGAATGAATGAAAACAGTATTGGGGAAAAACATCCATAAATAAGTCGCTTTGACGTACAAGTCGCAGGACATGCAAATTATGAAAAAAAACGTGACTTATGGAGCGAAAAATACGGTACTCAGATTTATTAGGGAGACGTATAGCAGTTGTTTTGTGTGGTCAGCGCTTAACTTTAATGCACGGTGTTACACCTTCTGAGCGTGAAGTAAAGTGAGTTGGCCGAATGTATTATACATGTTGCCCGTGTGTGATTTGTTCTCCGGCTGTCGAGAGTGATTATGAGGTGCAGGGATGATGACGAAGATTATTTCAGATCAAGTTTCTCCCTTGGCCCAGGAAGGTTTACATTTAAAGATGTTGCGATTTGAGTCTGCACGTGTTCGTATACTTTATGTTGACCTTCATTTTGTAAAAGTCACCTGTATTAATTGCAAAAACCTCCCATTTGCTGAGGATTCTGCACGATGGACGTTTGTTGGGAGAATGGTAATGCTTTCTATGAGCAAGCCACCTTCAATGATTTATTCAAAAAGCAGCTCAAGATCGTTGCAGAACCTCCAAAAATGGTTCGACCGCTAGAACAAGAATATTGAACAACTGTTTTCTAACATTGTAA